GTAAAACATGGCTTGTGAACTGCTCGATTGCTAAACAATCCAACATATTGGGAAGAATGTTCATTTTTAGTTTTAGATGATAAAGAAGCTCACCACACTGAACAATGCCACGGAGACGTATGTCACAGGCCGGACCGATACCATGAACCATGAACACCAGGTGGTCTACTATCTCTGGTTCTCCTACAGAAACACAGCAAGAAAATATATCAAAAGACTGATATTGTTAGCTAACAAACATTCCAAACCACTAACCCTAAGCCAGGCTTGAGCTTTACTGTTTAAAAATCTAAGGCAGCATCCTTATTAAAGTGAATAGGAGAGACTTAAATTAAATGAGTTTGATGCGTTCACTCCATGTCATCATAACTATAATTTGAGATGACAACACGCAACGTTTTAACACACATACAACTACACAGTTTACAGAAATATTAGGTGGAATAGTCCAATAGAGTTTGATGTTATCATGTTCTTATGCTAACAGTGTCATACTTTAATGCGCATAAAAATACATAACTAAGGCCTTATGAAGGCTCCACAAATTTCTTTTTACAATGTGACTTTAAAAGTTAAAAAACAAAACACAGCACAGAAATATTGGGCAATATGGTCAATTTCCAGTTACTGAAGTGTTTTATTTATCTTTATCTAGTATATGTTGTCTACATTTCTCTACATAATAGCCATCTTGGATGAGCCTCTCACAATGCATTCTGGGACTGTCTACATTAAGGCTATAAGTATTTCTGCTTTAGAATTTGGCCAAAATTAGGTATTTTATACCATTTGGAAGTGTATTTGTATCAGAAACATGTAACTAGTAACTATAACACCCTAATATTTTGAACAGAGTTTTAGGGAGCTGCACTTACCCTCTGGTATCTCCAGTGGAATATTCTCAACTCCTCTCTTTATAGTTATGGGTTGAGTTCGTTCAGATGGGGAAGGGGGAAAGTCCTTGCAACCACTGGGATACTGTGTCATAAGCTGAGGTAAAGCAGTGAGAGAGACTAAATGTAACTTGTGAACAGAAAAGTGTCCATTTTCCATGAGCTTTACATTTAAATACTACCTTTGGATTGTGAAGGATCACAGTTTCCCCTGTAGGGAGCTCCAAATTCGTCTTCCATTCATCCAGCGTAACTGCAATCATATAGGCGTCCTGTTTTGGAATATAGAAAAAGTATTAAAAACTATACAAATTTAACTTATTCTAGAAAATCTGTGCGTCTCACCTCTAGGAAATCACCGAGTTCCTCGCTATAGGGAGTGTAGGTCACTTCTTTGCTGCCTTTGTGGAACCAGGAGCATCGTCTGACCTCGGTGGGCTTCTGTTCCCAATACACGGAGTAACGCTTTCTTTCACATAGCTTGACGTCATATCGTCTTCCATCTGTAGCCACAACCACTTCATCCTTTTCACTTTTCCCCACTGCAAACAAACCAGATCTCGTGGTTACCGTTCTGCTAATAAACTGACTATTCTTTCAGTAGTTGCAACGAATAGGATTTAAAGTATCCAGAAGGAGACAATGGGAGACCTCGACTGTGAGCATCCTCCAGTCGCCGTGAGTCTTCTCTGCTGAAGGGTTGCCAGGTGTCCTTGGAGTCCACCTGCTTGTTGTAGAACCAGTGGTACTGGACGGGTTCATACGGCTCAGAAATACTCATGCTGAGAAGAGCAGAGACGCCACACCAAGACCAACGGACTGCAAATATAATGTTGCCATGTTTTTGTTTAGTAATACACTAATGGTCTCTGCAACCTCATTTGTGTACACACACAAACACACTCAAAATTGTTTTTATATCTTTACATAGACTCTCTATTGACATAATGATTTTAATACTGTGCAAACTGTATATTCTATCCCCTAAACCTACCCATCACAGGAAACTTTGTGCATTTTTACATTTTCAAAAAACATCACTTTGGCAAAACTTTCTAATTTTACTATATTTGTGGGGACATTTGCTCTTCAATATAGGTTAAATCCCGGTTAAATCACACACACACACACACACACACACACACACACACACACACACGTTAGGTCCTGTCAATATAGGTTAAACAGGAACACGCACACATACACTTTATATATTGGATACTTTATATATTCCATTGGTCACAATGGATAAAATCATCTACTAAATGAATAAATGTTGATTTACATAAATAAACACATTAAACTATTTTTTCTATATTGCTTCACTGAGTTTTTAAAGAATTATCATATTTTTTTCAGGGTTTTAAGACTTTATAAGCTAGTTACACCACCAAGACATTTTGGGTTTTATTGCTCTGCAATATACAGTATATATAACTTTTTAACATCATTTAAAAAAAGAATAGCAACATAAAATGTTGTTAATATAATAACAACAGAGTAAAATAACATAAAATATTGTCCATTTCCAATAAGAAATGAAAAGCAAAAATTACAGAAAATTGGAAAGCACAATTTGACTTGAGATATTTTTAGTATGACTTTTTATATTAAATTAGCTTTATTTATTTATTTATTAATGATTCACATTAACATTAGCTGAATAAACAAATAATAAAAACAGAATATGTACATTTTTATACAAAAAATAATAATAATAAAAAAAAAAAAATTTAAGTCCCAAAAGTTTTGAATATAATTTAGCAATTTTTAAAATGTGATAAAATTTGGTTTGCATTGAGCCCACTTCTTTTAATGTAACGTTATATGGTATTTTCCCAATAAATTAAATAACTATAAATCATTCTGAGTAAGGAAAAACACACCAAATACACACATTTCTATCATAGATTTCAGTTTTCTATTAATAAATATTTCTAAAATAATCTTGAGTAAATAGTGAAAAAAACAACAACAACAGATGTGGCTATAGTTTCTTTTTCTAGTCCACAACATCCACAGGTAGCGATAAAATAAACTTAATTCTTTCCAAAACATGCTTAGAAGGATACATTCTCTGAAGTATTTTGTATAAATATAAATGTTTTAGGCAATTCCAATGCTTTGTGCTTTAAATGACTTTTGCATTTTACTCAAACATCAAGGAGAGCGGTAAGCTACGTCATCACTATGGTGCCCAGGCAGCGCTTACGTAATATTGGACGAGGGCAGCAAAACAAATGACTAGTTAAATTATCAGTTGGTTCACCCGGCAATGTGTTATGGACAATACAAAATTACCTAACTAAAGTGTTTTTGTCATGCGGACAGAGGACAGCGTTTGTGTTGTACTGCAAAAATAGGGCACGACATTGAAATGAGCGAGGACAATGAAACAAACAAACTGCATTTTATATGACCGTTTCAAGGTAGCACATAAATGACGATTCGATATATGAAAGAAAAAAATGCATAGAAAATACACATTGTATCACAAGGACAATTGATTTATTGACACCTAATACTGTTTGGAAATATTTAAAACACGATGTCAATACTGACTACTTACTGGTCGTAAGTATTACGAACGTTTATCATCTGATACAACAACAAATGAAGGCAAATAAGAGGGAAAACCATAATAATGCATCGCATCGAAATCTACTCACCGGCTGCTCGTAAGGATGCCCGCTTGGGACAAATTTGACTTCTGACAGAGAGAGCAAACCCCACACTGTAATTCACTAGTAGTCAAGTCCCAAGTAGCGATGCATCTAACGGGAGCTGAAACCTTATACGTATTCTTTGAGTCTAAAGGTCGACTGATAGGAGGAATTTTGAAATAATCAATCAACGACAGTAACTACATTTCATCATGGTGAGATGGGTTATTATGAGTCAATGAATCTGAAATTGGGTTCATAATCTCATGCATAATGATCTCACTATGATCTCAGGATAAATGATGCATTCTTTAGTGTCTTGCATTGCATAAGATGTCCTTTTAGAGTTTATTTTTAGAAAGACCACATTGGAGAATGGACTTTATTTTATTTTTAAATATTTAAACTGTTTGACAAGACATTTAAACGAGTTTATTTCTTCCGTTGAACACAAAATAATATTTTAAGGAGTTGATGGAAGCCATTGACTTCCATAGTATTTTTTCCCCTATGGAAGTCAATGGCTACCGTCAAAGTTTCATTACTAGTTTTATAAAGTTTAGAATCATGGTAAAAAAAAAAAAATAAATTAAAAACTCAAATATAAGAATACTGATTAAATAGTGACCAAAAATACAAACCTAAAATTTGAAGCTTCAAAGTTTATATAAACGTATGTATTATATTTAGTTATATAGTCATACAGTTTGAAGTGGTTTTATTTTCTATTCAAGTTTGTAATTTGACTGTTAAAAAAATGTGACTATACAGTTAAAAAACAAACATTTAAATAAAACATACACAAGAATAAATAAAGCTTGGTTGGGACCAAAGGTTGTTTTGTAGCTACTAATAAACTTCATTTCTAATAAATTAAATATTTGATCATTGATAGATCTGTGTAACGGGGTTAAACAGATGTTGAGTTTGACAAATGTCATTACTACACTTTGTATAAAAATTGAGAAACTAAAATAGCTGAAATGCATCTTCCATGTAGTAGCTAGTTTCCAAATGATGCTTTTTCTTGGATGTTACATTTTTATAACTGAGAAAATTATGTAACATGGTTGCATGCAAAATTGTGACATGTTCTTGATACAAAATTAGTTAGTTAAAAATAGCTTTACCAAATTGTCGTAAATCTGACATTATTTTTATGATTGCTGGTTGAATAGAATGACCTCTACTTCTTGCTTGGTTCAGTATGGACCACAGATGGTGGGACCTCATAATAAAGGTCATAGTTTATCAAACATATCTAATAATTCTCAGAAAATAAAACAAAAACATTACTGACTCACTTCCAGAAGATTCCCAGAGTGATGTTCCACACCGTATCAGATCACAGATAATCCAGAGCAAAGGTCTCCTCACAGAAAGTAATCTTCTACAGTGTTGACAGACGTTGAAATGTCGAATGATCTGCTCAAGTTCCAGCTGATACATTAGAAATCATCACAAACTTTATTGACAAAAGATATCAGGGGATTTCCCATATGCATACAGTCTCTACTGGAGATCTCTATAAATATGTCTGCCACATTGTAAAACTTACCTAGAAGCTGTTTCAACATACATAAAGTTCTTTCACCATGATAGTTCACATATACATTTTCAAAGAGATTGAGAAGTAACAAATTGTTAAAGACATTTTCAAAAAGACAGCTCTACAATACACAAAACGTTCATCATGAACATTTACATAATCGCAGCAACTGGCTTGGTAAACTTTCACACAGTATACGGTTGTTGGTCAGGTTAAGGTGTAACAGAATTCGAGTTCCTACAAAGGTAAGAGGTAGCCTGCGTTGGCCGGCTTGCGTTCCTGTGCAAGAGGCGCTGCCTCTTTCATTCGGAGGGGTCTGTGGCAGTTCGAGTCGTTGAGAGCTGGGTAATGCTGTCGGTAACACAAGTACGAGAAGGCCAAACCGAGGAGAGATCCCACCAACACATCTGGAAGTGGACGGGAGACCGTGTCATTGCCTTGAAACATGTCACTAGAGCAGTGATGATGATGGCATGTAATTCTCACCTTGCCAGTGATGTTTGTAGTCACATGTTCTGGAGAGGGCGATCATGATGGCGAAAAGGAGGGGGGTGAGGAAGGCACACAATCTCCAGGCTTTGCCTCGGCCTGCTGGGCTAAAACAGTGCAGCTTCCCAGCCACGTACAGGGCAGTGAAGCCCAGACCAGCAAACGCAACTATGACAACAACAAAAAACATAGAAAGTTGGTGGCTGAATGTTCAGAGACATATTTTGTTACACACACATGTGTGTGTGTATATATATATATACGCATATGTACACGGAAGATGTAAAGGAAAATCTTTTCCATTTTTTGGTACATTTTTGTTGTGTAAACATACTCTTAAATTGTACTATTTATGCAGCCTTGGTGAGAATAAGAGACTTCAAAAACATAAAAAAAAAAAAAACTTACTGACCAGAAACTTTTGAACAGTAATATAATAAATATTTATTTATAATATTTTATTATTAATTTATTTTATTTACATTTCTATAGATTTTTTTTGTGTTTTTGGTGTGTAAAATAAGTTTAAAGTCAACATGAAATCAAAATTGACCCTATTGACTGACTTTTTTTTAATGCATCTTCCTGGCTTTGTGCATGATTCAGGGATGCCCTTTAGTCCACATTAAACAAATTGCTCATTGTATTTTTTTATGAAATGTACCAAAATCCCCTCTGAAGTAATCAACAGAAATATACTCGGTTATGGACAGTGTTTCAGGTTGACTTTAAAAAAAAAAAAATGCCACTACATAAACAGCAGCAGCTGCTCTTACAGGAAGAGTGTCCACTTGGAAAGCTCTTCCTGCCTTCCATTACTACATCCGGGTCACCGCTACAGTGAAGCTCTGGGTTCATTTGGCCATCCGGGAAACAGCGGTAGAAGAAATCCGGTCGTGGCCTGGTATGGAGGGAGACATTAAGTTGAATTAAGCCTGAGAGTATCTAGTCCTCTTCTAGTCTTTCCACAAATGCTTCATTTTTGCTGAAAGTCAATGAGAGATCTTAATCTAATCTAAAATGTAATATATATATATAAACACCACGTTAATCTGAAATTATTTACAAAACAAAGTTATGTAAATTGATTGAGATGAGTACATTTCGAAAATTGTACAGTCCTGCAGTGATGCGGGATATTGAGATGGACATTAACACAGCTTGGTGCAAAGTTAACATTGTGCTAATATTGGTCACTCACTCACTCACCTTCCCACAGCTAGCTTGACTGCATTAGTGAAAACTCCATTTAACACCAGGGTCAGAGTCACAGCTGTGTCATACAAAAGACATACAGAGACTTACATTAGCTGGCAATAACACAAAATATTATGAGATCATCATTTGATACTTTTACAGATTTCACTATAAACAAACAAACATTACTGGTATACATTTGACTATTCTATAAAATATGTAAATTTAAATTATATATATGTAAAATAGTATTCCTCTGTGGAATACATGATTCTGATTGGTCAATAACGCCATCTAACTGTATTTTATCCCCCGATAACAACAACAGGCTCATCCGGGTCACTGAAGTCAGCACTATACACTTTTGTTAGGAACTTTTTTTCTTCGTGGTAGTTTTGCGTTTGGTGAGGTTATAAAATATATATTTTTAAAAATTAAAATCTTGAGTACAGATATTATGCCATCCAGTATTACGGATTCACTCTCGTTTCATACAAACTAAATTTTGTGTCGAAATTCACATGCAAAGTAGCGGTGTAGTGGGATAATGAGGATAACTGAATGATGAGTCCATATATTTCATAAATTTATGCAAACCAAAACACACACAGAGGTAAACACACACTGAAATTAATTATTAACTGAAAACTTAATTTCTGCGATTAATGTTTAATGAGTTCTAAATATTTAACGTAATTAACTCAGCATCTATTTGTTTTTCTGGCATCCTTTGGCAGTTTAGAAGTATAATTAAAAAGAAAATATTATGTAAAATGATTATATTGTGAACTGTATTTAATCATGGTTACTTGTATATAATTAATTTATATATGTGAATATTTATAAAACACACACTTGAGTCCTTACCCAAAGATGCCTCTTTCATATCTTCCTTTCCACCTTGTTTCAAGAAGGTAAACAAAGAAATAACCACCAATGGAGCGAAGAGGGCGATGGACTGTTTAAATAAGATAAAAATGGTAATGATATCCCTTTAATCAAATCACCTGCATGGCATTTTCATATTTGCAGTGTCATGGCTGAATATGAGTGGTAAGCACTTACAAACATAAGGCGGGTAGGAACACGGTCCTTTTTGACGGGATGGAACTTATAGAGCCAGAGTTCCTCAGGTTGGATCTCACGGCTGAATGGAGGAATCCCCTCAGTCACGCTACAAGAACATAATTACAGTGAGAGAACAATCCTCATCTCCACAAAGCAAACAAACAGAGACACACAGCTCAGGAGAGCAGCGAGACAACCTGGCATAACAGGTTATGAATAAAGAGGATACCGGTTAGATCCGTCAAACCCACACAAGTAGTTCAGGTCAGGGGTTGGGGTTAGTAATACAAAAGTGTACTTACAGAAAAACACATAAAAGCAGCAGCCGTACAATAACTTCAGCAATGAAGCCATTATCAAAACTCTTCCTCATCTTTGGTCTTGGTTTGTCATTGAATATGGAGACACCTTCCCCTAAAACCTGGAAGAAAGTGGAAAATGATGTTGCATTGAACTGAAACCAAGAAGTCATATAGAGTAGATGCATTGAGTTAAATATCTGAGAATCCAAGCAGGAACATTAAAGATAAACTTCATTACCAACAACCTTCTACCGCCATGAAATTAGAAGATATGATAGGGAATGTGGCACTTCAGCTGGTTAGTATTTTAAATCCAACATCATTCGAAAATAAACCATTGGTGTTATTCAAAAGGGGATTTATTATATTACGCCGAGACACGAAAGCCTGTTAGTAAAAATAAACCGTTTAAGATGGTTTCTGGATTCTAACTGGTCTATGATGGTCATTACAAGCCAAAACTTGTTTCAAAAGTCAACCTGAAGTATCACCAGACAGCAGCTGGATTGTTGATGATCACCAACTAATGACCACCTTGGATCAACTAAAAACCATCTACAATGTGTCAAAAAGTAGTTTCACAATCTTAAGCTGGTAGCTGGTTTGTGGGTGGTCCAAGATATCACAATTTTAACCAGCATAAACAAGTTGCTGCTCTAAGATGGTCAGCTTGGACCAACTAGAAACCAGCTACAATGTTCAAATATACAACTTGATTTAGCAGTTTTCCTACAGTTCTATCATCGCTTAAAACATCCAGTTTAAGATGGTCTCTTGATTTTAACTGGTCTATGATGGTCATTACAAGCTGTTTGACCAAAAACCAACCTTAATTGTGACCAGCTAGGAGCTGGTTTGTTGCAATCACCAAAACAGATCAGTTAGAAACCACCTACCATGTTCCAGTTAAACAACCTGAAGATGTTATATGAACAGCTGGTGGCTGGTTTTATAATGGTCCAAGATGGCAGATACCACAGTTTTAAACCAGCATAAACAAGATGCCAGGTTTGATACTAGTCTAAGATGTTCAACAGTTTAGAACAACTAAAAACCAGCAACCATGTGTTCCAAAACACAGCTAGACGTAGCGTAGTTTTTCCAGCGCGGAAGTAAGGATCAAAAACCATAGCATCACTAGAGAGTCGCCCCCAGTCGCACGCCACATCTGTGATATTTGCTTACGAACATTTCCGCAAACACGACATCGCGCATCCTCCGTCTTTTGTCTGCAGCACGGAGCTGAATACAGACCTTCGGATTCTTTCCTTTTCTGTTTAAACCGTCGCCTTGTCGGCTGTTGAGAGCTGCCACCGGAGCAGAATTTTGCGATGTTGTTGTCGGTCATATATATTTGACATGTCCAGCAGCAGAAGCTGACCGCGGTACAGTTCCACGATAAAGAGGACTGACTGACGAGCCAGAGCCAGTGCACACTGACAATTAACACGTCAGTACTTTCTGTGCTGTCCGAATCGCGGAGCCGTTTGATTGAACAGGTTCTTTTTTACAGATTCGATAGAATCGATTCGCAGAGCCTTTGTGAATTACATGACAGTAGCCTATGTTGCCTCTGGCATTCGTTTTTAAAAATAAAATTTTCGCTGTGAAAATTAATCAGATAATCCCAAGAATGTTCCTAATACAAAATTACACTTTCATAATTTCTCTTTACTTACTTAAAACCAGCTATCCTTAGATCATATAGGGTGAATTCAGGTTGATTAGGGCACTTTTTCATGTCATCTCAATGGCAAAAAGTGTACTAAATCACCCGGAATTCACCCTATTGCTGAAAACAATGCTATACACTCAAACTTTTGAAAATATTTATGAAAACATTTAAAATCATGCAAAATCATTAGTCATTAGCTATGAACTCAAAGATGTTATTTGCTTATTAAACACATTATTGTAAAAAAGTATTTTTTTCGATAAAAATCTAATATTTAGATAAACAATGAACACGATGACTCGAATATATTAGTGAATCAAGAACGGTCCGAGCGAATCGATTCCCACGAATCTTACATTTCAGTCATACGTTTATGAATCATGCGCCCTCTAAAGATTGTCACAGGCATTTAAAAAGCCCGAACCCACGACAATATTTTGCACATGCAAATTTCCTGAGCCACGGCCATTTGAATACATAATTACGACATATTCATTCAAACGTAGATTCAAAGAAACAGTTGAACATTCATTACAGTTTATTGAAGTCAAACCAGGCAAGTCTGAAAACGTTTAAATCTGTGGAATGTCGCTTAAAGTACTCTCAGAATAAATTATGAATTCTGAAGAAATACATCTCAAAAGTTGGTCAAATAAAATACAAGAAAAGAAATGTACAAAATGTTTCTACGTTCACAAACATTCAGAAGCAATATTACAAGCATTCTTTAAGACACTACAATATAATGACAATGGAGTTGTTTTTTTTTTTTGTCTTTTTTTCGTTTTCGACTATGTACAATTGATCAAGCATCATTCTCTTACACAATGCAATGACATAGGCTACATAACATAGCCAAAGAAATCTCTACATCATTAGAAAACTTGGAGAGGACATACATTCTACCCAAGCCATATCATTTAGGATAAGTTTTATTCAGTTGGAGTGTGTAATGTGATTCAATGCGCATGGTGAAAAATATTACAAGAACATTTAACTTTACACAAACTCTGTAACTCAGTAGCAAGAATTAGTAAACAGTCTATTTAAAAGGAATGTGAAATCAGTACACAGAAATCAAAGTGTAAGCTGGTAGGACACCACCTTTAGTAAATTTAGTTAACCAACACAAAGAACATGCTCGGATAGCACAAAATGATAATGACACCTTCAAATACACATAAAAAAAAATGTACACAAAGTACAGTGCACTGACACCAAACACTGGAATCAATGGAGGTAATACACTTTTAACATTTGAGCGGCAAAATCTATATAGCAACAAATCATCTAGTCAGATCACTGCATAAACAAATGTTGCTGAAAAAAATAAAATAAATGAGGGTTTAAACAAACCGTCGAAATATCACCAACAAATTCTAGTGATCATCCGTATCCATTTAAAAAAGAAAGAAAAAAAGGCCAAATATAGAAAATTAAAATAAGTAAAAATAGTACCAACAATGGCAAAACCAGGCAAAACAAACATGTGCTTTGCATCCCGCCAACTGCATTTTCATGATATTTTTAATCAACAACTTAAGGGCAAATATTGGTATTTTCAGAAAAAAAGTGCCTATGAATTAAAAAAAACAATAAAAGTAAGCTATATAAAAATAAATGTAAACTATAAAAATATCGCATATCAGAAGATAAACAAGCAAAAGAGACTCAAAATGCCTTTCATGTTTCAAAGACGCAGATGCAAGTAAGAGCACACATTATTTTCATAAACATACAAATCTCAGTTTGGCAGTCAAATCGTCAGAAATCCTTAAATTTGCCGTCGGATGCAAGGATCCAGTACAGATATCCACCAACAACGCTCCATTTCGAGACCAAATAACAATAAATACAGAAATGAACAAAAGGCAAAATGGACACGATTCAAGTAAAATGAAACTTGCAGCGCTTTCCCTCCTTTCCATAAAGTGACAAACATACTGGTGGTGCCATCACATATAATACTTGCACTGTGGTCTATAAAAACGTTCATGTGAAATGACTAACGAGTAAGTATACAAAGCCCATGTGCCGAAGCCGTCGAGATCGAGTCTTCATCCGTGCAAACTGTGGCACAGCACGACTGCACAGCTACCAGTAACGAGAGTAACAGTTCCACTTTACAGCACAGGCATCAAAGCTATTGAGTTAAGTAGATTCACATCAAGAACAAGTCACAGAGAGGAATATGCTACACTCTGCCGTAAACCGTACAGCCCTCCCACTACATCCGACGGTTCGGTTTTTAGCAAAGAAGCGCGTGCCGTTACAACCGAACAATGCTAAAGGAGATAAACCAAAGTGTGCGGTTAAGGTACGGTTTGATACCTTTGAAATGAGTACTGCAATCTACGAATACGATCGAAAAAAACCCCCAAAAAACTGTAAGTCTGATTATATTTACACTCGGAAACAAATGTAAAGAAAAAAAATTGAAAAAAAAAAAAAAAAATCACATTATTTTAAGATTGTACTCACAGTCTCACAACTAGCGCTGCTCGGAAACATATGGGTTCCTCGTATTTGATATAACACACTGGCACCTGTTCAATACTCACAATGGTAAATATCCGTTTAAGACACATGGCAGTGTTGGAGTATATGTGGCTTAACACTACACCGTCAAATGTTACCGTTTGGACACGTCGGAACTGATCTTCTCGGGTGACCGATAGTTATTTCTAACACTTATACCTCTGAATTTTTACTCAATGGACCAAAAGATGAGGGCAATACAGTACCGGCCAAGCAATTATGTCATTTTGCTGACAAAAAGGGCACATATACAACAACACGATTAGTGATATCAAATTGACTAATACAGATGAATAATACTGTACATTGTGAATGGATGTAAACATCGACATAAATATATTAATGATTATATATCTTACAAATCACAAACTCACTGGAATGGGGGAGGGGGGGAGGGGGGCAGTTGAACAAACCTCGTATGTCTTTTGAATCAATCTTTTTTTTTTTCTTTTTTTTGGATGTTACGACAGGCTCATATTCAGACATGTAGTGAAATCCTACTGGAGAAGGGCGAATGGTTGCGCCCGACACATATTACAACAGTCTTTGCTATTTACATGAGGTACATAAATAAAGTTCTTGGTTTAAAGTGTTTATAGCGTGTTTTTAAAGTACCACAGATGTGGAAACTGACTTTGCCGCTGAAAGGCGTCGCTTTAACCGAGTGTGTTTTTTTTGCCGAAACGGAGCACGTCTGAAAAAACAGGGAGAATTAGCTGGGAGCTTTTGCTTATAAAACCAGAAGTGAGTCGCTTATATTGTTTTATAAGCCCGTATGAATTTGACATGAGCTCGTAAATTGTGACATGTTTGAAAAATTCATATCAGCTGCTGTAGATTTGGAATGAATCAAACCAGTTTGGTCGAGTCCACTTGCTTTGAATGAAAAGTGGACCAGCTAGCTGCATGTATCTACTGTAGTTTGTGAACTTTCATGTACTTTGAAGTTGGCTTTCAACGCTTTCTTGGTGCTTTGGCCCATTCACTCTCCCTCTCCCCCCTCGTCGTCGTCCTCTTCCTCCTCATTGCCGTCGTCCCCTTCCTCTCCGAGTTCAATCAGTTCCTTCTTTACAGCGAGCTGGCTAGTGTTAGCCTGAGGCCCTAAGGGTCTCTGGGGGTCGTGGTTGGAGCAGCAGGGCCGGTTGTCCAGGGCAGATACTGCCAGCTGTCCTCTCTCATGCTCTCGGCAGAAGGATGCGGGGCAGAAGTGGCAGAAGGCGGCGGCGGCGCGCTGGCACACGCTGCACTGATGCCAGGGGCATTCCCATCGCCCTGTGAGAGACAGAAGAAACACATCAATCGCACAACAGGAAAGCAGCTCAAGAAAACTTTTGCTGACTTATTTTTTGGCCAGGCAGTGTTTTTTTTTTTTCTTTCTTTTTTTACAAGTATCATGAATTATTATTCATTCATAAATAAAGTTTAGGGATGCACGATATATCGGCCACATTATTGGTATCGGCCGATATATGATAATTTTTAATGTTATCGTTGTCGGAACATTTAGCCGATATCTAAAAGCCGTTTAGTAATGTATATTTCTTTCAATAATAAAATAGTGTATTATATCCTTCAGCTGAGGCAATTTAGATGTGCACTGTTCAACATGATGCTTTTAAATTGCTTGAAATACGATTGAAATCACTTTAAAAAAAGGAAAATCCAGTTAAAGTGCAAAATGTGCAGCGCAAGTCTGTCATATCGGCTACACAACATTAAAATAAGAACATAATAATTGTGTTTGTATCTTGGCTTTTAATGAGGAAAATCAAAAATTGTCTAAAAATTTGGATTTAGATTTATCGGCCAAAATATCGGTTATCGGCTTTCAAATATAAAGATTATCGGTATCGGCCAAAATTGTCATATCCGTGCATCCCTAATAAAGTTATAAAGTGGGGTGTCACAAAACATGACATTTTACAACCTGAACTAATCTTATTTGTCATAAA